AGGTATGAGTCACCAGCGCCCAGCTTTCCCCTATATTTTCTCTTCAAAAGAGGGAATGGCTGGGCACAGGTGTCTCACACCTGAAATTCTAGCTACTCAGGAGGCTGAGATGTGGTTGATCTTAGTTCAAAGTCAGCCTGGGCAGAAAGATCCATGAGACTCCAGCTCTAATTAACCAGCAAGAAGTCTGGCTGGAGGCATAGCTCAGGTGGTAGGGTGTCAGCTGAGCAAGCAAAGCTGAACAAGCACAGGTCCTGAGTTCAAATCCTGGTGCTGCCAAAATGAAAAGGAAGTGACTGGTCCAAGGACACAGGGCCATAGGAGGGGTAGCTGGGGCATCCTGACCCAAAGGCAGTTGTTCCTCTGGGTTAGCTAACAGAAGAGGTCTACAGTTTACAACCCTTGGGGCTGAGTACAGAGCTTCTCATTTACCTCTAAAGAATACACACAGAGCTGTGGTGTGGCTCAGTAGGAAAGTGCTTGTCTAACATGTGCAAGGTGCTGGGTTTGATCCCCAGCACTGGAAAACAAAAACAAAAAACCAAACCCCAGCTCACACCACCAACAAGCCTAGTGGTACACACCTGTGAACCCAGCTACGGGGAAGGCGCAGGTAGGAGGATCAGAGTCCAATGCCTGCCTAGGCTAAAGCTCTAAGCTCTATCTGAAGAAGAATTTAAAAGCGAAAAATTCTGGGGGATGGTAGAGCACCTGCCTATCAAGCTTGAGGCTCTGATGTTGATCCCTAGTGTAGTGAAGGAAGAAAGAGAGAAAAAGAAAGGAAAGAAAGAAAGAAAAAGGAAAGCAGGAAAGGTAAGAAAGAGGAAAGGAGAGAAAGAAAAAGGAGCCGGGCACCTATGGCTCACGCCTATAACCCTAGCTACTCAGGAGGCTGAGATCTGTGGATCACAGTTCAAAGCCAGCCCGGGCAGGAAACTCCGTAAGACTCTTATCTCCAATAAATCATTAGAAAACCAGAAGTGGTGCTGTGGCTCAAGCGGTAGAGCACTCGCCTTGAACTGAAGAGCTGAGGGACAGCACCCAAGCCCAGAGTTCAAGCCCCACGACCGACAAAAAAAAAAAAAAAAGGAAGAAAGGCAGGCAGGCAGGCAGGAAGGCAGGAAGGAG